CTCGTATATCTCTACGTTCCATCAAAATCAGCTTTTTATCACATTTTTTATAAGAAAAGCCAACATTTTTTAAAACCCTCCAGAAAGAAGTTCTACTGCCGTGAAACAGTCCATATTCTCGTAAAGTACATATTTGACAATTTATCGAGAGTCGGCAATTCGTTCCTACTATAGTAGCCATAGATAAGGTTTCTAATGGCGTCGTTATCAAAATTGTCGATATGTGTAACTATCGATCTTCTAACTTTTTTCTTGGCGATTTTAATTTGTTACCTTCCATTAAATCTTTACCATGTTTATCCTTACTTATTCTGGAAACAGTTTTTCGACTAAAACCAAGAGCTGTATTTACTCGGTTAGTCACTTGTGAAGGTGGCAACAATCTACCACCATTCTGATATTCTCTTTCAAAGTAATCTTGTAGGCGTACTACAAACTCTCGCGCTTGACTACGCGTCACTGTTCTTTTAGTGGTCTCAGTTTCGGCCATAGTGTTTATAAATACAAAAAAAAACAAATCAAATAACAGTCAAAATTTAATAACAACGAAGGAATTATCAAACAGTTATAACTACAATAACAATAACGAAATAAAAACACAACACAAAATCAACTAAACTAAACACGCATATCGTATACAAGGCACTCGTATTGAAGAGACAAACAAAATGGCGGTCGTGATCACGAGGTGGACGCAGTGTTGACAGATTTTCACTCGCGAAAAGAATCTGTCTATAATCGATTTTATACGATTCTTTTAGTCACGTCACTATGTAAAAAGTAAAAATAAAACTATAGAACGTAAACGCAAAACGGCAGTAAAATATTATTATCTTTTAAAGTTTTAATTATTTTGAGCACGATATCTAAAAAACATATATTGATTGTGTGTGTGAATTAATTGTATAGTGATTTAGATTGATTGTGCATTTTTAAAAGATGATTTACCACCATGAACAAAAATGATTATTATTTCAAATTATGCGAAACGTGAAGAGTTACGTTCTAAGAAGTGTCGAAAGGGACTTCGTAATTGGAATAGATTATAATAACACCTAGAAAATAAGCCATGTCAAGCGCTGTCTAGGCCTATGTTCAGAAATGGACTTTGCTTGGCTATAATTAATGGATGAATAAAAACGTATTATTACTACGGTTTCAGTGCTCGCCGATTATTCCATCTACGAAAGTAACCCGAGTTCGATTCCCCCCAGTATCAATAAAATTTTAAGTGCTAATTTACTACGTGCTCGGAGATTAAGGAAAGCATCGTGAAAATACATATAGGGGTATAAAGTTATAAGCAGCAGGCTGCGGTATAAATAAATATACAGTCCGTGTATTTATTTATAACGCAGTTGACGCTCAAGTGTCGCCTTGTTAGCCTTGTGAATCATCAGGACACCAAACATCACAAGGCTGACTATTAAACGTCTTTGATTTTTTATAGAAGAGGGGGCTAACGAGTATGTGGCTCACCTGATGGTAAGTGTCGACATCTACCTATGAACATCTGCAACACCAGGGTAATTGCAGGAGCGTTGACAGCCTTTTAGAAAGCTCTTTTCTTGAAATAATGGACTAAGACACAGAATAAATAATAGTACTACGTACAGAAGTTTCACTCTTTTGATTTTAACTGCTCACCGACTTTTAATAGCCTACATAATTATTATTAATTGGATAAATCGCGCACGCAAGCTATATAAAATAGTGTCCATATTACTTAGCATCTTATCACCTTCGTAATTCACGGCGGACTTTCCATGGTTATTAAGGGATGTCAATAAAGATTAAAAAAATACATTGCGAAATGTTAATTTAAGTTACTTAGGTGAAGTACCTAGTCTGACTACGATTGACTGACCATATTTTCGCACCTAAATGAGTTCTGCGATGTTAACGCATGCAACTTACAAGGTCATTATTTGGGAAACGCGATGCTTGGCTCGGAGGAAACAACAAATAAATTTTAAATATGATTTCTAACATCCGTATTCTACTTTGTTAAAAACTTATTAGAAGATAGTTTTATTTTCAGTATATTGTGAAACTATAACATAAACTATTTTAATAATAAAAGACAAGTATAGGTAGGTAAGTAGATACTTGGATAGTGAAGTAAATTTCAAATAAGTTTTTAGTTTTAGTTTTAGTATGACTTTTGTAGATAAATTTTACTTAAATCTTTTTTTAGATTATTCACGATAGATCGTATAGATCGATCACGTTGGGAATTAAAAATAAGTAAAAGTATTAAAGGGAAGGGGAATTAAACTTAAGTTAAAGTAGTTTATTAAACGCGATAAAATCCGTAAATATAGTTTTTTTCAATAAATCATTTTTGCTATAAGTGACTACCTATAAAGTAATAAATTTACCATTCATAACATCATAGTAAAACCCTTCGGTAACTTAAATAATGATATATCTAAAACCTATATTTGGTCATTTAGCATCTATCCGCGCAACAATTATAGTAGGAACGACGTTTTGCCATTAAAATATATCAAATAGATTGGTAATGTACATAATATATCGTCCCCGTAGTTGGAAAATTAAATAACTCTGATTTTGTAGTTCTGAGATAAATCCGATTTAGTCTTTTTTTTCAGTTAATGTACATTTGTTAAAAAATGTGAGACAATTTTACTGTCGGTAATTTGATATTTTGTGGACCTGATTACCTTTTACATTATGCTTTAACAAACTGAACTCTTATCTTTAACTATAACTAAATAACACATAAAAAATCAAGTTGTTTAATTTTGCCACAACTGTTATTTATAACGTACTACAATTATCTACTTATTTCGGCTATTTATTTAGTTTTCCTACTAACTAAATACATTTGGTAGAGTAAAATTTGGTGAAATAAATGCATTTATTGAATTTATCAAACTCGAAATATTTTGAAATGTAAAATTTAGTGGCTTTGTACGTTATTATTACTTCTATATTTTTTTTAACTATTATTGGTCTCATATAAAATAAAAGTTGTTTTATGATATTAATAAAGTTATATTCAGGAAAAAATAGAAAAGTACAATAAAATTTAGAAAAAGTGTATTGTAATCAGATACTTATCTTACCACAAACTTAAAAAAATAAACAAAATTACACCAATTATAACAAGTGGAAACAAATTAACTTAAAGTATTCTTTCAAATCAAAACAGAAAATAATTTGAACCCAAAAAATAACATTATGGCTCTAAAATCAGACCTAATTATAAAAGACGTACTTAAGTAGTAAGTAAAAAAACTATGAAAAACTTAAAATAGGTATCAATTAGAACTAAAAAACATAAGTTTGTATCAAATCAAAACATAATTAAAACAGTACTATAATCCTATTCTGTGTTAAAACTCAAAAAATTAAAATTGTTTGTACCTAAGCCATAGGTCAGTCTCAACTCAACTAAAAAATGAACACCAAAACAAAGGTACAACAATCATTATAAAACTTTCAAACGACTCAATTCAACTAAAAATATTTCGTAATAAGGTAAGTAAAACACAACACTTAAATAAAGTTCAAAACTCAAAAAATAATATGACACTAATCAGGTACATTGAGTACACCAATCAACAACTTATTCTAATATCAATTTACTTAGAACTAAAAATACTTTCATAACAAAATAAAACATAATTTAAATTCAAAACAATTGAAATGGCTGTATCTAATCAATACTTAAATGTAAACTTGTAAAAAAGACATAAACATAGGTACCCATTCATTCAAACACAGCGTAAATCCCTTCAAAGTTAGAGTGAACGGGCTCCTTCTGGGTAAGCTCGCTCCATCGTAGACTTTGTCTGTCATCTCTGACCAAGACTAGAGTCAAGAGCAAACACATCACAAAAAAAGTATAATTTAACAATGTAAAAACCCTATTGTAAAATCATTTTACTCATGCTGTTAGGGTTTAAAAGTTTAGTTTAGTTTTCAGCAATATGTAGAGCAAGGGGCCAAAATAAGCTTACTCATCGACTTCAGATGAATCAGTGGAGCGTGATGGACCCTGGTCTTCGTTTGAACATGGTAAACTTTCGTACCAGCCGTGAAGCTCTTTAGGAATTATATTTTTCTTACAGAGCTGTAAAAGGTCTTTCTTTTTTTGTTTTGTTATAGGAAGACATTGTTTACATGCCCGGGAAAGATCTTCAGTATTTATCGTTGGCATTTCAGAGTTTGGAGTTCCCCTAGTCGGTCTCCCTGGTTTACAAAGAGTATTTAGTAAGTTATATGGCCCATCGTAATCGTATCTGTATTTAATAAAACCAGGTAATTCTTTTTTCAAATCTAAGACATTTTATATTTAACCAGCACACTTTCTCCCCATTCTCCGCTATAGTTTTGTTTTTAATTATTTTCGAAGCAAGTGCTTTTACATCAATCATGTCTTGATATGATAATTCAGTTACATTATATAGAGTTACATTTTTATTTTGTCTTTTTGATCTTGCCCGTAGCATAATTCCCTTCCAATCTATTATAGAATACGTGTCTGTGTACATTTTTTCTTTTTCTATGGCACTATGCATTGAATCTACTTCCATAAAACTATGACCACTTTCTAGATACTTCTGTTCTAATACTTTGATTGTCTCATGCGTATGTACTAAGTACAATAAAAATGCTGCTATGTACTGATTTCGGTTTTGTCCCGAGCACGTGTCGGAATAAATGGTGACGTGCGTTAAAACCTCGGGGAGATTCTTAATCCATAAATGAATAGCAGATGCTATTTCAACACTGCCTCTTTTGTCGTTTATTTCCGTCCAGATCATACAGTGAGCGTCGTTCTGTGAAGGTTTAAACTCATAAATGGATAAATTATATAAATTTAATATTCTGGAATAATACATTAGACTATCTGCAGTCGATGGAATCTGCAGTAGACTTTGCAAGTCCATGGTGACAAACAAATATGATTCATCTTCTCCCGACTTCTTTTTATTCAGCTTTTTAGATCTATAAGATGCCACTTCTCGCTATATATGTTGAGTATACTCATTTTGAATATTTATATTAGTTTTATCTTTTTTGTAATTGTTAGAAATGCTACATTGATCCTTCTTGGGGTGATAGAACGCTAAATTGTATTCTGTACCAAATACTTTCTTATAAATGTTTAATTTTACTGGCACTTTATTGCTTTCTTTCATTTTCTGCACATACAAATCATACATTTTTGATATTGACAAGGTAGGTTCTAAGTATTTCCTGGTTGTTTTTTTTCTACAGTAATGGGAATCAATTACAGGAAAACTTTCAATTTGATTTTTTACCTCTTGTATCTGTTCTGCAGGAGTTTTGTTTCCAGGCGCTTGTCTGCCACGATTATCCATTTTTGTAAATACACCATGATCATCCACATGTTTTACTGCAGTTTCGATTGGACCAGTAGAAATGCAAAGAGTGGACATAAAATAGTTCCTGCATACTCATTCAAATACAGTCTTCTTTTTATAGAAACCGTATTCTCTGCTAGAACTTCTTTGTTTTTCAATCGGTACAGATTTTCTTGTAGTCTGCACTGGCTTAATGATGATGCGCTTAAGCAAAAACTCTTTTTGCAGCTTAAAATCTTGTATAGACCAATAGGATTTGCAAAGTTTCTCACGCTCGTTTTGTGTAAACTTTTCTGTGCATTTCTGGAGACAATTTTGGCTGCATTTAGGACTTTTAGGTAGTTTAGCTGCAAGAAACTTTCCAGTTTTACTCTTATATGGCAAACATTTTCGTTTCGTCTCCAACTCTTTATTTCTTTTCCAGTTTGTTTGATTAGTATTTTTCCATCTGTAGATTTCTTTTTCCTTATTTCCTGTTCCTTTTTCTGAATCTGTTGTCTCAGCGATTGTGATATTGTGTTCCATGATCCTTCTATCACGGTTAACTGGTGAGACTTGGTCAATAGGAGTTTTAATAATAGCGCGAGTTGTTATAATATTACCTCTTTCATCTTCAGAGTCACTCGACAAAATGGGGTTTATTCGTTCAAATCTCTTAACTCTTTTTTTCTTCTTAGCCACTGAAATATTGATGTTTATTAAAGAACCACTTTTCCTTTTTATTTTATTTTCTTCTTCTGTGTCCTGTCTGTGTGAATCCATGAAGATCCAGAATCAGAAAAAGGTTCTTCATCTGTCGAAGGTGGCATTGGTTCTATACCCGAAATTGGACTTGACCCTCTGATAGGCGAACTGACATCTTTATAGTTGTATAATATTATGTTGTCATCTTTATTTAAATTAATTTTACTGCTACACAAAGACATGGGACTGATATTTACAGGCATAGGTGCTGATTGGGGTGTTATTAGTAATCATTTCTCTAGCCATTATTGATGCTGGAGCCGATTCGCATGTAATTATCTTAAATCCGTCATGCTCAGGAAGCTTAGGAACATTAGTAACCAACAGCCCATCGGGCATTTTTTCTATCGTAATACCAACAGCATAATTTATGTCGTTGCAAACATTTTTGTTCATTTTGGATGGTAATTTCTGGCATGTTATAACATTATGTTTTTGTGGGCTGACAATAATGGTACTTTGGTCCTGTTGTTTGATTGTCTTATTTTTGTCCTAAAACAATAAGAAACAATAATATAGTAGGTATTTAATGAGGAAACAAGTAAAATAATAATCATGTGACAAGAGTTTATGCAGTCTAATTTGTCAAGTCAAGTCAAAGCACACGTTTGGCATCAAGCTTAATAAGCCTCGGAATTCGCCAACTTTGATACGGTTAGATACATTAGGTATCTAGGTTGGTTAAGTCACTTAGGTAATAATGTCAGCCATACAACAAGAGTTAGGTACTTAAAACGGGACCACTCCTAAGAACTATCTGAGCACCTAGTAAACAAAACTGCCTAGTAAACAAAACAAAAAAATCTTTTTGTTAACTAAAAATAATTTTTTTGCTATAGATACCTTTTTTATGGGGTGGTAAAATCATCAAATGAGTCCTGCCGCCCTGGGCGGTGCGGGAGGGACTGTCAGACTTGTCAGATTTAAACGTAGGTACCCTACGTAGTTTCACTCTTAAAAGAATATTTAACGAAAATACCCAACAAAAACAATTTGTGTGACAAGCTAAAAGTAACCTTAATTCTTCAACTTAAGAGTCAAAATTCCAATGAAAGTAGAAGAGTTATCAACTTCTCTCACAACTCAAAATGATTGATATTCAAACTCGCATAAGGGAGGAAAAAATAAATAAAATAAATATCAGTACATAGTTATGACATAATTATTAATTAATGTTGTTCAAACGTTCTTACGGTTAAGAAAGACGTACTTAATAGTATTATTTCTAATTTCTTAATTTAATTTGCAAAAAAATTATTCTAAATTATCATAGGTACATACCTCAGATGAATCTTCTTCCTTTTGATACATTTTCACCATAAATCTACCTCGCGAATCCATTATTGGTCACTCTGACGTCAACGAAATAGAAGGTCACGTATTAGACTAAAACGCACGACACGCGAGCGATGCATCAAACCGCACCCGCTCACCCCCGCGCTCTCCGTCGTCGTTTCCGATCAGAATATTTCGCGCCAAATTCTCTTAAAAATTTAATAATGATTTTCCTCAGGTGCATTTTGTTTTATGGCAATTATAAACAACTTAATTTATTTAAGTTTATTTGCCTAGTATCTTATAATTAATCATTATGTAGTTGTAGAATAAATAGATAACATCAAATATTTATAAATTAAGTACGTTATATCAGAATTCTGAATAGCAGAATTAAATAAATAGTGTTATTTAGTTTTCCTAGAACTTAGTTAGTTTTGTGAAAGAATTTTGAAGCTGAGGAAAAATTCAACAACTCGTGTTATTTAATTTATTTCACATTCAACTTATCATTGACCACAGTTATTGATTTATTTACTGAGTTATTTATTTTTTCTTTAAAAAAGTAGTGTTTGTCTGAAGATATTTATTATTCCATCTGTCCGACAAAAATGGCTATATTTTTGGAACGGAATAAGATACGAAAATGCCTGTAAGGCTCAAATATGCGGCATGTTTTAGGTATTTTGAAAATAGGGAAATGTCAATATCGCCAAAATCGGACTTATTTAATTTTCCAACTACGGGGACGATATATATAATTTTGAAATTACATTAAAATTTTTAACTTTTTTATTTTACGATTAAATATACCAAATAAAACATAAACTATTTCAACAAGTATTTACAAAAAATTATTTACATGAACAGCGTAAAAAACTTTAACATTCAATCGACTAGAATGCGCTAGCCCCGACTGCGTATTACACCGTCGGTGACTCGCGATTTTATGTAATTATTTCATGCTGGTAGGTAGGTCCGAAAAAGTCGCTGGTGGTAAAAGATTCCACAAATAGGTTCTACGAGGAAGAAAACTCCTAGTAAAACGTACAATGGTAGACCACCTTGCATCAATCATCAAATACAGCAATGAGTTAATTAAAATTAGAATCTAACGCGACGAACCTACTTAAAGTGCATTTATGGTGGGAAGTAAATAATAAAGATAAAGCGGGAACACATTAATAACACAACAGAATGGTCTGTTTGTGTTCGCCTGTCTGTACTCACTTACTCCTCACGCCCACACGCGCATAATGTCCTGATATACAAATACATCCAAGGTTATTGGTGGCAATTTGACAATTTTATCGCGTAATAAAACCAGGAAAGCGGCAATTATAGCGCACAGTGATTGTGGGATTCCCTAAATGCGTAAAATTATTTAATATTCATTTGCTCTCACAACGCGGACTATCAAATCCGAACACTCAATTGCATTGAAGTGTTCATGCCTTTTAATTATAAATGAGTTAGATAATAGTTTACAACGATTTTATAAACTACATTTATAATTCAAAAACAGCTCGCCTCTAGGGTAACAGTGTAGTACCAACAATTTCAAAAGTAAAATTTTGTAGTCCGATTGCTTTGAGTTGAATAATTTTTATAGATTTTTCAATAGGCTGTTGTTTTGCACAGATGGTCCTTGAGCTCCAGGAATGTGATATCGCAACTTTCATCCCAGCAGAAATGTGGCATCTCCTCGGTTAGCTTGTGATTGTCTGTTAATTCGTGAAGCAGAGGTTTATCTATATATGCAAAGTTCTTCACAAATAGCTGATAATAGGAGCACACAATCAAAAATGCTCTAAACTGCGTCTTGTCTTTTGGAACCGGCCAAACCTTGACAGCGGCGATGTTTTAAGGATCCGTGCGGATACCTTTTTCCGACACTACATACCCCAAAAAGTTCATTTGCCGTTTGAATAGTAAACATTTCGTCGGAATCAAATTGAGGTTGGCACTCTAGATCTTCATCAGCCCGCGTTCCAGGTTTTGAAGGTGTTCCTCAAACGTACGGCCTATAATGATGATGTCATCCAAGTAGACCAGACATGCATCGCCAATTAGCCCAATAAGTACAAGTTCCATCAACCTTTCAAACGTGGCCGGAGCATTGCACAATTCAAACGGCGTAACTTTAAATTGCCACAGACCCTTTCCAGTCAAGCTTGCAGTTTTTTTCTTGTCCTTAGCGTTAATGTCAACTTGTCATTAGCCACTTTTCATGTTCAGCGTGCTAAACCATTTTAATTCTGTAAGCATGTCCAGCCCGCCATCAATTCATGAAAAAGGATAGCTGTCCTTCTTCGTAACGTCGATCAGACGGCGGTAGTCAACACAAAACCGCATGTTGCCGTCCTTATTCTTTACCAGTACCACAGGTGAACACCATGGAATAGATGAAGTTTCAATAACACCATCCTTCACCATTCCCTTAATCATGATTTCCACTTCCTTTTCACGTGCTACCGGCCATCTTCTTGACCGCTGACGGATAGGTAATTTTTATCTTGTGTTAGAAGGTAGGAGCGTATACGATAGAAAAAAATATATAAATAATTTATATTTTAATAAAGCACCGGGTTTAGACAAAATTAGAGTACAAGATATAAAGCAGGTAAAGAAAGAAATAAGCCCAGTACTAGCTAAATTTATAAATATGAGTGTGGGTGGGGGAGTTTACCAGGATATATTAAAAAAAGTAATAATATAACCAATATATAAACAGGGGAGCCACACGGACTATAGTAACTATAGACCAATTGCTATATTATCGGTAATAAATAAAATAGTAGAAAAAGTAATAATGAATCAGATAAGTTGTTACTTAGAGCAATATAACATAATATCAGATGCGCAGCACGGGTTCCGTCGCGGGCGCAGCACGGACACTGCGCTTGTGCAATTCACCGACTATATCGACAACAATCTCAATGAGGGTAAGTTTGTCGCTGCTCTTTTTATTGATTATAAAAAGGCATTCGACACCCTGGAACACGAGGTACTACTGCGTGCAATGGATAAATGTGGTATCAGAGGTCCCATCAACCGATGGTTTAAATGCTATTTGCAAAATAGATCCTTATGTACATTGATATACGGAGTAACAGGGGACGATGTAAGCGTGAGTCTTGGAGTACCAACCGGATCGGTTTTCGGTCCAGTTGGGTACATTATGCATGTTAATAGTGTAATTAATGTGATAAAACATTGTAAATCGGTTATGTATGCAGACGACATGTGCCTAATGTACTCAACGAATAACATGAGTGATGCACAAAAATACGTACAGGAGGACTTAGAAAACATAATTAAATGGGCACATGATAACGGTATAATTATAAATTTATCCAAAACAAAGGCTATGTATATAAGTTCATCCCACAGTTACAATAAATATAATTAACAGTAATAATAAATATAATTGGTCATACATACGAGTGTCTACACCTCAATAAAGCTGGCAGCCAGTGCATAAATATAGATGTAGTAGATATATACCGATACTTAGGCCTAAAAGTAGATAGTAATATGAACTGGAAACTGCACGTCAATGTTGTGTGTAATAAATTGCAATCAATACTGGTCACACGACGTCGGTTTAGTACTCAATGCTGCCAAAACTAAACTTATGTATATAAGTACAAACCACAACAGAAGTTCTTTTATACCTAAACTAATAGCGCACACACATCACTGCCTTCATATACAAAATACTAACAATTCGACATCCTGTA